AATATAATTTTTAAAAAATTATGACTTAATCATCAAATACTTCATTTGAACGTTCTCGTGCACTGAACGGAATTGCCCGCCACACTTTGCAGTGTTATATCAATTATACGTTGTTCGCGTCAAACCCTGCCGTCCAGGGAAATAGCCACACGCAGAATTCAGCCGTATCTAAAAGGTTAATGATCAAGGTAATATTAAAGAACCTTCTTGTAATGTTTATAATATATATATTTTTTTTTTAAATTCATAATAAAAATTTTCAGTTGCTAAAGATGTCCCGATAAAGGGACAAAACGTTCAATGAGATCAGAACAAACATTCTAAACAAATTTTTCAATCTGTCCAATTTCCCTGAGACACTTTTATTTATTACTTTATAATGTTTTTTAATAAATATAAATTTTATACATTTGCATTTTTATACACACTGCATAAATGAGAATTTTTTAATGTAATTTTAATTTCTTTCACATACCTCACGTAGGACCTGAAAGAAATGTCGTTTTTCTGAATAGTTCGCACCAATACTTTTTATACTTATGGATAGCGGATTTTAATGATTTTTATATTAAATTAAAGTTCACTCTTTTTTCTACCTCTATAATAATTTGTCGAGTTATAAATTTGGCATGTAAAGTTCAGAAAATGTCAGAGAATGCAATGCTGTAAATTGTGCAGCTTTGCCATTTCTTTGAAAAGTTCGTGTAAATATTTTTTATACTAAGAGTGAATAGATTTTAATAAATCTTATATTAACTTAAAGAACACTCTTTTGTCTATGCGTAGAATACCTTTTCGAGTTATAAATCAATCTGCAAAGGTTCATAAAATGTCAAAGAAAAGTTGGCGGGTCAGGCATTGTTAGCATTGCCGAGGGGGTTTGGCTCCGCCGCCAGGTATTGTTCAAATTACCTGACCCGCCAGGCATTGTTCACATTACCTATATTTTTCACATTGAATATAACTTATAAATAAATGATACTTTTAAGAATAAAAAGTGCCCCACTGAATACATACAAATTTTTATTTAAATATCAATAAATAAAATATTAAAACGAATCTTACATCTAACATTACACTTTGTTAAAATACTTTCAACATAAATGTGGCTCGTCAATGCAATTCAGGATGATATTCGTCCTACAAATGCACGAAACATAAATTTTTTCGATATACATTGCATTTTATGAATGCAAGCTTCTCACACGTGGACGGAGATTTCAAATCTTCCAACAAATATTATTCTAAATGTACAATTATTATTATATTCTACGTAACATATGATACAATAATTAATTTTTCTTAATAACTATATATTATATTGAATTTATAATTATTAATTTTATTACTTGTGCATTAATAATGTTGATTTTTTAATAAAATTATTAACGTTAAGAAAAACAAAAATTTACACGCCCTATAATAATAATGTACGCTTTTTTTGTAATTATATTCCCTGTCGGAATCTTTCCAACGTTTCTGTGTTAACGATAAAACAAAAATAAGACAAGAACAAGAAAAGCGAAATATCTTTTGGTATGCAGGTAGAATAAATTTATTTTAACAATCGTACTATATATTAATGGTAATGTTAATGTTAAAGCTAATGTTCATTATATGATTACGTTATGTGTACACTTCGTTTCAAACCTTTTAACTCTTACTTTGTAAAAATAGTCCAAAATAATTTCCAAATAAATTAATGTGAAAAGTATGTGCGAAATAAATGTAGAATAGTGAAAAAAAAATTATAAATCTTATACAAATATATATATATCACATTTACATTTTTAAAATGAAAGTATATAATTATATTGTTATTTAAATTGGTTTTTTTTTTGTAGGAAACTGTATGTTTTCGTTCGTATGTACAAATTAACGCGTTTCCTTAGAGATAGGTATAAAAGAAATATCCATAAATTTACAATTAGTGTTAAGATAATTTTGGAAATCGTGCACATTGCATATGTTATTGCAAGAATTATATTAATTTGTGCGAGATCTATTATTTATTTTTATATCATTATTTATATCTTTCAATAAATCAAATCCTACATTTATGATAAACAATTGAAAAAAGAATTTTTTTTAAATTGATAAAATTTAGGAAACCAAGTTTTGTGATTCTTTTTGAATCTCTTTATCCATGCGGGTGATGCTTTAAAGATGAAATTATCTGATTGAAATTCTTTCGCAGCTTCTAAAGCCCATTGTTGTAAATCATTTTCCGTCACCTGTAAAGTTAAATCAAATAAGTGTTAAAAATTCTTCTGTCTAACTAAATAGACTGTTTATTAAAATAGGCGGTAACACTAAAATACAAAACATGGGTGAGAGAAAAAACGATAACACACATAAACAAATATAGATTAGTAAACACTCGCAATAATTAATTATTATAAGATTATATGATATCGTAGATGCATAATTAATGATAAGTATTCAATCAAACGAGAATTGATTACCGCTCTCGTGTTTGAAATATCTTGGTATACAGGCAGAATAAGTTTATTTCAATAAACGTATTATACGTTAATGTAAATGTTCGTTACATGATCACGTTATGTACTATATAACTGTACTTCCCCCACTCCCTGTTTCCCTATTTCTTACTCTGCGCGCGCTTCCCCCACTCCTCTGTCGAATTTCTCCGACCAATCACATTTTCGCACTCTACATCCCTATAAAATTAATATAAAATACTTTACAAAAAAAAAAGAAAAAAAAAAGAAAATTTATTAAGCTTACTTCACAATAACAAAAAAAAGAAAAAAAAAAAGAAGGAAAACATACTTAACCCTGTCGAGATAAGATATTGCTATCGGCAACATCACAGACCACACACAGCACCACTATTGTAGTTACTCTACTCTTCTCAGCCAAAGGAACACGTATCCATGTAAAATTTCAATCCGCGTTTTTTCGCAAACGGTTGAATATTTATATACGCCATGTTTAAAGGCACAATGAATATTCTCATGGAGTACTACAAGTGTGCAAAATTTGGAAAAAATCTGAGGTGTGGCCCACTGACCGTCTCCTTGTAAGTGATCGCGGATTTTGTCGAGTAAATCGTGCATAAAATCCGCACTCACTTAGTTACCAACCCAATATTATCCTTAATATACCCATATGTATATTATCGAATTTTATTTCTTACTTTTATTTACTTCTTGACACGTTCCGTGTCACGTGTACCATCGATGGTATACGCTTACATATTTATTTAAACCGTCGAAACATCAAACGACTTGAATGAAAAGTCGAGCAGAACGGCTCGGCAATATAATCGATGCACAGTTTTTAACATTAAAAATTACTTACCGGACGATTATTTTTTCGAGCTTCCTTAAGGCAATCCAATGTTCGTGAATCGATGAGAGAATATTTATAATATACCGCTCTACCCGAATTTATATATTTTTCCCACATCCTCTGTTGATTACTGGATCTTAATTTAGTGCATTCAAGTGGTTGAAGAGTTTTAATACTCCAATCGGAATGCTTGCGAGCACATTTTGCCGCTTTAATTATGGGAATGTAATTTTTATCCATTTTATTTTCTAGCTGATAATATTTTCTTTTTTTATTTCGGAAATAATTATTTTCTTGAACTTCATGGGATGCATTTTCTTTTTCAACTTCATTAAACACACTTTCTTTGGCTTCGTGAATCGTAATTTCAGGGTCAGAACTGTTTTTTTCGATTTCATTAAACGCACTTTTTTCTTCGGGTTTATTAAACGAAATTTCAGGGTACAGAAATTCTTTTTTGATTTTATAAAACGCATTTTTTTCTTCGACTGCTTCAAACGAAATTTCAAGGTCGGAATTTTTTTCTTCAATTTCATTAAACGCACTTTTTTCTTCGACTGCTTCATACGAAATTTCAAGGTCAGAGTTTTTTTCTTCGATTTCATTAAACGCACTTTTTTCTAGGACTTCATTAAACGTAATTTCTGGATCCGTATTTGCAATGTACGAATGTTCTTTCTCGACTTCGTATAAGGAATTTTCTTGTTTGCTTTCACGTAATATAATTTCAGGGTACATAAATGCAGTATCGATATTTTCTTCTTCGTCTAAATGAAACGGATTTTCTTTTGTGATTTTATGCAAAGTTATTTCGGGGTACTGATATGCGGCGTACGAATTTTCATTGTTGACTTCGTGAAACGGATTTTTTTTTTTTATTTCACGAGACTCACTTCTTTTTTTGATTTTATGCAATGTTATTTCGGGGTACTCAAATGCGGCGTACGAATTTTCATCTTTAACTCCGTGAAACGGATTTTTTTTTTTGAATACACGTAACGTATTTTTATTATCCGATTTGTCGTTATTAATGAGCCCATTCTTAATCCCAATTTGTCTTTCTTTTGTCTTTTTAACAATAAAACGATAAATATCTTCTCCAAACTTCATCATGCTTGTTGTAATTACCACTGGTAACTTTTGTACAAGAAGATCATCTTTCTTAAGCAAATCTAAAGCATGTACATATGCACCTGTCAATTCTGACTTTGTCACAAAAACTTCCTTTGAATTTACAACATTACATTGTTCGTTATTATTTATCACGGTATTCGCATAGTCGTTCATTTTTATAACAAAAAAAAAGAATACTGCACTGCTGAAAAAAATTATTGCGAGCACGGTATAATTTACTCTTCTTTTCCACTTCAAAAAACGTCTGTAAACAATGGAAGCTATTAATCTTTTTATATATACACGAACCATAGAGATTACACATGTATACAAATGGTATATAAAAATAAGAGGACGCCCATGTTTTATTTGTACCAAAATGGAAGGAAAATAAGGCGGCAATTTGAAATAGAAATAATAATACGAAACTATAACGGTAATCATTAACGTTGTTTAAGCATAAATAATTGAAATTAAATAAATCATTATTTAATAATCGTAAAAAAATGAGTAAATATAGTAATATTAATAGTAAATAGTAATAGTAATAATCGGTACATATTCAGAGCAGTACAAAAGGAACATTAGCGACATTAGTGATAAAAAAAATAAATCTTAAATATACGATTTGCGTGGAYAGATTTTTGCAATTAATACGTTTGAGCTYGTACTCCTTGTGTAKTYTCCATKACACGAACCTTTGTATCCTTTTTCTCCMACTTTTAATGTTTGCTCGGTTAAACAAAAGTGATTCAACTATTCTCGGTCAAACATGTGCAATGAAAATAAGAAGTATAGAAAGAAAATTTAAATTAACACATTGAGCCCTACACAAATTCTTAAGGAAATCCCAGTCAGGCACGTGCGTTACTTATTATTGCAAAAACAGTTGAATGTCAGTCGTCGGTGACAGTTTTTTCAACGAAGCTAAGTCAAGGAGAACGATCACAGTGTTATAAATGTGTTTACATATATGCTGTATGAAAGGATGATTTCTATTGCATATTCATAAAGARCGCGTTGATTCGATGGATCTGATTTTTCAAATATATATAGTGCTACCCTTAACTTAGGAAAAAAATAGATAAATAAGTCGACGAAGTAAATAAAAAATAACAATAGCATGAAAAAAATTACGATAAATCATCTTATATATCTGTAAAAAAATTGTAAAATGGAATCAAATTATCTTTAACTCAATTATTGAGTATAAAAATCAATAATAACTGCTGTAAAATGTAATTGCCAGTTACATTAAGCTTAAACAGTAAACTACAAAATTAACAATATTAAATAACCTGTTGAGGTGTAAGAAAATTTATTTGATTAATTAACCATAATTAAAGGAGTAACGAATCTAATAACAATAAATATACCTCGTATAAGATTATAAATTTTATTTAACAGAAATAACATTGTTTTTTTCTTATTAGCTTTTATAAATTAATAGAATTACGGACTATTAATCTGTTACGTTAACTTCGCCCTAACTATTTGTTTATTTATAAAATTTCTTCTTCTCTTCTTCTTCTTCCCCTTTTTATTAGGACTTCGTCCTGTTCTAATAGCTTTTTTCTTTTTTCATTGCTATTTCCAGGAGCGCTTTTATTGTTTTTACGAAGGGTAGGTTGCTAGCCTCATCTTGTTCCACCTGTGTTTGAGCTTAGTACCAGCAAGGTATTAAACTAGGCGGAATCTTGGGGGTCCACAGCAAACGCGGTGGTTCCCAAGTGGTTCACCCATCCAAGTACTAATCGTACTCAGCGCTGCTTGACTTAATAATCGAGCAGGAACTAATGCTGCCACCGCACCATGGCCATTGACTTATAAAATATCACGTACTAAAATCTGAACTCTGTGGCCGTCACGCCAAAGCTTGGCGCCTCCGGCACTCTTACCGTCACGCCTCTAGTGGCGGAACTAAAGAACTAAAAAAACACCACGTATATGAACAACCGCTGTTATTCGCGCTCTTCCGTTCCAACCACCGAGCGAGACACACGCGTACTCACGAGCAGCGAACAAAGACGTGAACACTAGTCACTACTTCCTTTTTCCGTTTTAAGATTTTGTTAAGTTTATTATACATTTTGTATAAGTCTTTTTGATACGTTATAATAAAATATTCATATAATATTTTTCCCTAGTGAATTAATTATTTCCGAATATTATTGAACACACTACAACTCCTGAACATCACCGCCGCCCTCGTGGAGAATTATCGTACTTGCTATTTCCTCATTTTCAACAACATAAATTCGACTAAAACGCAGATCTGTCGCAGATTGTATCTAGGCTTCGTGGTTTTTTCAATAGTAAATAACGCGCGTAGTGTCATTGGGATTTCCTTAAGAATTTGCGTGGCGCTTAACGTGTTAATGTAAAAAGAGTTGTCCAAGGGAGACTTAATTTAATGAGTAAAGTAATAATATTAAAATTATTTTTTTACATTATTACTTTTGGAAAGATAACTTATTTATTTCACTTTATTTCTGAATGTCATATGGCACTAATTTTTGAAACAATTTAGTGATGGGGAACATAGACTAACTATCTCTATACCATCGCAATATTTATTGATAAATATCATTTTAATTCACACTATTGTTAACACGTAGATTCGTTAAGCTGACATTTATTGTCAGTGGGATAAATAAATATCAAGATTTATGCTTTCTGTGTAGAACAAGTCCTTTACCACTACGAAAATTAATCCTTAAATCTACACTAATTAAATTTATTTTACATTATGAGTAATTATTGTTCCAATAGTTTTGTAATATTTGAATAAATGTATAGTATAGAGTGGGTACACACTATATGCTTTTTCAAATTGGGGTAAGAGAAACTTTCTCTTATTGGCTGACTACTTGCTTACTGAAGAGACATCATTGGCTAGGATATTCATACTAGATTCAAAAGTATATCTCGATATTTATTGCATTAGAATAATTGAAAACAATGTTAGTTATTTAATATTTAAATAAATAATTATGAAAAATTTACGAACTTTGAATATAACGAGACTCAACCAATCAGCGTCAACATTTGGTTAACGGTGGGTATAATACATGATGACCGTGTATCAATCGTAGGAACACGTAAATTGTTGGAATATTGTGGTAGATTTCTTATTCTGATGTTCAATTAAATATCACGGTTAAAATATTTCGATATTAATTTATAATTTAAATTTGGCCTACACAGAAAAAAGGTATATATTTTAAAATGGCTAATACTACTGAAAAAGGAAAGAAACGGCAAGCCGACGATAATGCTATGGAGGTACGTAATGGGATTATTTTCTCTTTTGTTTTTGTTATCTTCCATGTAATTATTATATTGATCTCGCTTATTATTTGAAAATGAATTTATTAGAATATTATGTAATATGTCGAAGTAGTATATAATATCTTCTTCTTCATCTTCTTATTGTTAAGACTTCGTCCTGTTATACATTCATTATAACGTTCTGCTTTTTAGGGCGTATCTTGATCTTGTGATGATGATGTCCAGCTTTCATGTCAAAAATTTATATTATAATATGTATTATAATATATTTATTATAATTACTTGTAATTAATTATATATTATATAATTTGTATTTTTCATGCTAAATTATTGCAGCGAGTATATTTGATATTTATATATTTATGTATTTATGTATATATATAACACATGCCCCAAAAATATAAATACTAAATACTTCCTTAAATTGAATATTTTATTTATTAAATTATTCAGGGTTATATATTTTGTAAAAAGTGTCAGTTAAATTAGAATTAAGTTTTCAATAATAAATATCAATATTATAAAAAACAGACTTAATCTTATAAATTTACATATATATGCAAAATAGAAAACAATTTTATACAATTTCTTATATCATATCACAATCGCTCTGATACCCTACTAGCAATATTCCTTAAATGACCATACACTTTGGACGGTGGACTTCCTAATATTAAATTACAAATAGCCCTACGAGCTAATTGTATATTTTGGAAAGATCCAAGTATATGAACCTTGCTATCGGCTAAAACGATTCTTGTTTTTGTAACATTTTCAATTGTGAATTTTGTTCTGCCTCCTTTCCCTGCTAACCTTCCTATAGCTCTAGATAAATGATCACTTTTTAACGGTTTTACATCTTGAATTTCAAAAGTCTCGACAAACAAATCATCTAATCGTAATAAAGCTAGAGCATCTTCTACTTCGAAACCACATATAAATGCTTTAACAAAATCTGCAGCTTTTTGAAGATTAGAAATAGCGGTAGTTTCAGGAGCAGTACGAATTTCTACATTCCTTGTTCTCAAATTGAAACGTACTTGTAATTGTAAATGTTCTACAATAGGAGTAAAAATCTTCATCCAATTTTCCTTAAGAGGAGTATACCTATGTGCAGGTACAGGTATCTGCAAAACATCACTCAATTATTACTTTTCCATCTATCTAAGATATAATTAATTACAAATAATTATAATAAATATATTATAATACATAACTAAAATGTACCTTTCGAAATTCACCATATACTTTTTTGACTCTTTTAGCAGGCGATCTAGATTTAACCTTTCCTTCAATGCCATTTACTACTTCGACCTATTACATAATATTCTAATAAATTCATTTTCAAATAATAAGCGAGATCAACATAATAATTACATGGAAGATAACAAAAACAAAAGAGAAAATAATCCCATTACGTACCTCCATAGCATTATCGTCGGCTTGCCGTTTCTTTCCTTTTTCAGTAGTATTAGCCATTTTAAAATATATACCTTTTTTCTGTGTAGGCCAAATTAAAATTATAAATTAATATAGAAATACTTTAACCGTGATATTTAATTGAACATCAGAATAAGAAATCTACCACAATATTCCAACAATACACGTGGTCCTACGATTGATACACGGTCGTCATGTATTATACCCACAACGGAGCTATATACAAGGAGGATGATCGAGATAGACGTTTGCGTTGAATTTGTGTTGTTGAAAATGAGTGAATGTAGAGTACGATAATTATCCACGAGGGCAGCGGTGATGTTCTTAAGTTTGATTTAAGTACGTATGATTTTATAAATAAACAAATGAAATTAATAGTTCTCTTTGATGTTTTTGTTTTAATTACGAAGCTTCGTTGTTTTAATCACGAAGCCTTAATCTTTTTACAAATGTGAATTGTAATTGAATATTTTGTTTAAGATGGTGAAATATTGTGTTGTGGTGGATTGCATTAACAGTAAAGAAAACAAGTCAGATCCAGCGAATCGACGCGCTCTCTAGTGGCAATAGAAATCGTCCTTTCATTGTGAATATTGTAGTCACATTTATAACACAGCGATCGTCCTTCTTGTATACAGGCTTCATGATGCCCACTTTCAACCAAATGTTGACGCTGATTGGTTGAGTCTCGTCAGAAGAATAAAATTATATTCAAAGTTCGTAAATTTTTAATAATTACATATTTATTGTTCATTTTCGTCAAATTAACAAAATGATTTAAATATTAAATAACTGACTTTGTTTTTAATTATTCTAAAGCAATAAATATCGAGATATACTTTTGAATCTAGTATGAATATCCTAGCCAATGATGTCTCTTTAGCAAACGTATAGCCAGTCAATAAGAAAAATTTACCCTTACCTCAGTTTGAAAAAGAAAAATAGTGCACACACTATAATATAAATTTATTCAAATATTACAAAACTATATTAAAACAATAATTATTTATAATATGAAATAAATTTAATTAGTGTAGATTTAAGGATTAATTTTCGTAGTGGTAAAGGACTTGTTCTACACGGAAAGCATAAGTAACCTACTTTATCTGTAGTAAATATTAAAAAATTCACGTTGGCGCCATGGACAAATCCTGTAAAGTACATACGGCAGTCAACGTGTTAGACAAATGTTTAAGTAATAAACAAGATACTACGTATTCATGCAAAAAAACTCAATTCCCGCGCAGAAATGAAAATTGTTTTCGATTGCGCGATAACCTATCAGAGTGTGGTAGAAATTGTTTCCATCGAACTGATTGGTCCAAACCCCAATTAAGATTTGTTTTCTGTCTGTTAAATAAGACGTTACATATTATTATAGAATAGCTAATAAGAAACTTTTAATGTCTCTCGAATAATTACAAATAAATGAAAAAACAATTATTTATTAAGTCATATATATATTCTAATAATAATAATTTAATATAATAATTAATCAAATTTAATTATCAATCGAAATTCTATTGATTTTGAAGATATTTTAGAAAGATTCGCAAGTTAATAAGGGCGCCAACTTGGACAATTTTCAAACGTTGCAATGTCATTCGTGTTTACAAATATTTTTCGTATGCATTTAACTCTCTCTTATAAACAAAACGAAAAAACACAAAGAAAACAAAATGAATGAATGTATCAAGTACATTAACTATTTTTTCCAAACACACATATGTATATATGTATATATATATTTCTATTGTATATTTCTTTATTATTTGAAGTTAGTAACAAATCTTTTGAATTTATCAGAGGTTGGTAATTGTAACACCACGTGTGCAAATGCTTCTTTTTTTATTAATATGAATAAGAAAGAGAGAGAGAGAGAGAGAGAGAGAGAAATAGTGAACGTATGACATTTGATCATAATGATTATGATATGGGATAAAGTGAATTTGATAATTAAACTGTCATGTGTACGTGTATATTAGGAATTATAAGTAAAATAATATTACAAATTTGAGATAGGCATTATTATAATAAAGAAAACCTCAAAATAGGAATACGTAAAACATTTGAGGATGCGATGCCCGCACGTAGACGACACGTTGGTTACGAGTCAGAAAATGATTTAGTGATTGCAACCTCAAACAGTGAATGGAGAGGTAGCGAAAAGAAACAACAGTATAACGATGAAACTCGTAATGTCGGTGGTTTAGAAGAAAATCATTTGAGACAACGTGATATACCACCACAAATAACAATGACAGCTCGCGACAGAACTAATGAATTTATTAATACTATAAGAACAATGCAGGACAGAACAGTCGTCAGAACGACTAACCTGCAAAATCCAAGAAGGGCGAGACAAATGCAAAATTATTCCAATTTTATGATGGTCGTTAAAAGTATTGGAAAAAACATTGCCAACACTTACACCAAATTGGAGAAACTTGCTCTATGTAAGAAAATTTATTGAGAATTTATATATTAAGAACATTGTTTTATGTTATTTGTTACCATACGTTTTATAATTTAATTTAGAATTTGTATTGTACGATTAATTTGTTTTTTTTCCCTTTTTTTTTTTTACTTTTATATTTATTGAAATGATAATTTAGTATATGTTTACATTTATTCTTATGATATTTAGCTTTCCAGGTATTTGATCCATATGTTTAAGTATATCAGCTTCTTCAGACAATGAAATATCACTTTATACATAAAGGATTTTTCATTTTAGAAATAGTAATCATGATACGAATGTAACTACTTGTATAAAAGAACATATGATGAGTCATAGGAGTATTCGTAACTACTACTCCCACTTTAGATTTTAAATAAGTTTTCAAAATGATATAAATTTGATTGCAAAGTATTTTTTTATTAGAGAAATATAATTTTACTTAACGCTTTGAGCATGGTGTCAAATTTTTGAAGTCTAATTTCTATTAAAAAGCAGCACACAACAAGGTGTTCAGTTACAAAATATAAACAGAATATAATACACATTGCAATGACAATTACGTTTCACCATCTGTTTGAGCTAAAAGAATGACAATCAATGTAGAAGTATATTAAGTATAAATAAAATATAATCAGATGGGGGAAATTGTTAAAAGATGATTACCAAGAGAAGCCGTACGAGTTTACTGTCAGTTCCTATAAACTGACCCTATGCTTAACGTATTAAATAATAAACAATTAGTATTACAAGAATATTTGCCTTTACATAAAATATAATACAAATACAATTATTATTTTCATAAATAATATTAGGTTGATTCTGCTTTGTATTTTATACTTTTGAAACAATTAGACGTACTCTTGTGAGACCTATTTTCTCATCATTTATCTAAAATTATACTTTTGTTACAATAAAATACTTTAGCAACCAAATTTATATCAATTTAACGTATTAAGTGCTAGTTAAATTCATGTTAAGTTTATTTAGGCCATGATGATCTGTCACCCATAGAGACATAAGAATATCAGTCATTAATAATCTTGATCCAGTCCAAATGAAAAGTCTTAGGCCAGTCCTTAGGTACCAGCATGACATTTGTTAGAAGTTTAATAATCCCAAAATATGTTCTTGTGTATAAAAATTTAGAAATATTGTATTACAAGAAAATATTGATTATTTTAATCCCTTCACCTATATCATGTGAAATTCATGAAGAAATTAGGCTAGACAAAAGTATTACGAGTAAAAGCTATGATATGTTGTTTGGGTGAATTATAAACAACACTAGTCAGATTTGTAGTTTTAAATGTCATAAAACATGTGCAATTTATACGACTACAAATACCTTAACCAAACCATGAAATGGTAGGTAACTGACCTTATTGTTGATGGAACTTAAATCGTAGGACAATTAGGGATTAAATTGACAGCAAGTGTACTAATATTCTTGTGACTCATTGTATATGTTTGTAAGAGTAATTTAATAGACTGATTTCTTGTACTGTTCTTTTTTAGTGGCCAAAAAGAAATCAATCTTTAACGACAGACAAATGGAAATTGAAGAATTAACTAACATAATAAAGACAGATTTAAAAAGTTTGAATCATCAAATAGGAAAGTTACAAGATATGGGAAAAATGCAAAGAGAAAGTTTCTCTTCATCTCAAGGGAATCATATCGCTTCTCATTCTTCATCTATAGTGATGGCCCTACAATCAAAACTTGCAAATATGTCTAATCATTTCAAAAGTGTCTTGGAAGTTCGTTCCGAAGTATGTATTTGTTTAATTTGACATAAAAATATATTATTTACAATTATATATAAATACGATTTGAAACGAATTCTTTTATATACATAAGTTACATTATTCGCATATAGAATATGAAAGAAGAACAAACCAGAAGACAACAATTTTCGCAAGGATCTGTATCTACTATGTTACCTCCTAGCGTAGTTTCTGGAAAACAAGGTTCCTTATTACTTCAAGAACAAGAATCTAGTTCTTCGGTTGCTATAGATCTTGAACCAGCAATGGGTCAATTGTCTATGCAACAAATCCTACAAGATGATACGGTAAAATATATTTCTCTTATTTATCATTAATAGAAAATATAAGAAGTAGTATCGATAATTAATTTAAAATAATGTTTTTTTTTTTATTCAGGACTCATATGTTCAGTCACGCGCAGAAACTATGCAAAATATTGAATCGACGATAGTCGAACTAGGTGGTATTTTTCAACAATTGGCTCATATGGTTAAAGAACAGGAAGAGATGGTAGAAAGGTAAGAAAATCAGATTTTCTAATCGTCTTCTTTCTAGGATTCTTCCTATCGGACATGCTCTACAATAATTAATATATATCTATTAATTATATTACAGAATAGATAGCAATATAGAATATACAGAATTAAATGTGGAAGCTGCGCATGGTGAAATCTTAAAATATTTTCAATCAGTGACAAATAATAGATGGTTGATGATTAAGATATTTGCTGTTCTCATATTTTTCTTTATCTTTTTCGTAGTATTTTTGGCATAAAATGATTCTTTCTAGTTCAAGTATATATATATGTTCTCATTTATCAATTCTATTTTAATATTTGTATTCAGTACTTGTGAGATACAGCAAATATAATTCAAACAAAAATCTCATTTTTATGAGACACGTGTAACATAGAACTATAATAACATTCAATTGCATTCCTTTTACTAAATTATTAGTTATACGCGAGGATTAAATATTAATTGAAAGTTATATGATCTTTTAAAAAAAAAAAAAAGAAATACTTAGTTTTTAACTATAATTGTAAAATAGAAAAAGGGACTTCTGATATTGGAAAATAAATATAAGATATAAGAGGAAAGGAAAAAAAAAAAAAATAATAATTTCACGTGGAAAACAAGTGTTCATATTTGTAAATTTAAATAATTATATATAATTATCTTTTGTTGCTGCTTGTGCTTAAAAAAAGAAACAAAAATGATGCTATCTTAGAATTTTATACGACATATGCAATGCTTATATAACAAACAAAAGCCTAGATATTTTGTATATATATAAAAAAAAAAATGTACGAAGAATTATTTAATGATAAATTATGGAAATATTTTAAAAAATAAATTACCATTTATTTTTAATCAATTAAAATCATAACGACTATAGAGTGTTTTACTTCTTATGCCGAGTGCAATACTCAAAATAACATTATGCTTTAAATTTATTTCATACTTCAAAATAGAAAGAGTGTATTTTTAATCAGATGATTTTTTTTCAAATTTTTGATTCTTTTGAAAAATGTATAGCAATTTTTTAAAAATATTCTTTTTTTTATTTATAGTAATGATATGTATTATTATTATTGAAAATTAGCATAAGTATGGCAATGTGGTAAAAAATTCTTTAAGAAATTTCGTAAGATAATAGTATAATATTTATTATACGATTAATCGGATAATAAACAACGTTAACAAAATATGTCCTAATGGAAAATGTAACGTTTCTATTATTTTATTTATTGCGTTCCCCTCCTCCTTTTTTTTTTATATTAACTTCAATGGGATATAAATGCTTAAAAGAGACTCATAGTATATATTATATACTATGCTCTCTTGTGAAATGTTTATTGAAAATTGTTATACAATGAATCTGTCACTATATATAATAGTAATAGATTTGGCCTTTTGTATAGGGTTGTTATAGACTAAAATATAAAATTTATACTTTTCCACTATGATGTGACTTATCCAATGACTCCCCAGACGAGTGCAAGGAACCTACAAACAAATAATATATTTCATTATCGAAAGTATATCGAATAAATATATTCTAATAATATAATATCAACTATATATATATATATATATATATAACTACTTCATAGATAAAATCTAAATGAAATATTATTACGAATAGAAGCATTATAATAATAATAATTTTTATCATAACGAATTTAACTTGAATTAATAATAAGCAAAATAAAATAAAGAAAGAAAGAAAGATATGGAAAAAAGAATATAAAGGCAAATGCAAATCCAATTTTTCTAGCATGATATAATTATAGAAATCAAACTGAAATCATTTAACCTGACTCGTTATTTTATTTGGAAGTATTCCTTTCCATAGTACTCCAAAATTGTTTAACTTTAGAGAAACGTTTGCGTCCTTGCATGCACAAAAGAAGAGCAGATGACAGTCATAGTGAAGAAAAAGAAGAAAAAAGATAGCGACCGATAGAAGAAGTGGAAAAAAAGATGGGGAATAAATGTATAAAAAGACTGTCTCCTTTTGAACGTTGTTGCTGGTAGAGATGATGCTCATGTTTAGCACGAACCTTTGTGGTTGCGAGCACGTTGTTCTCGCTGATGTGGGTGATAACCAGAATTGCGTGGGGGCTGCAGTGTTTCTTCCCCCCATGAATGCGACGTTCCAAGGGGTGGTAGTAATATCGAACCAGGTGGAGGAGGTGGTGGAGGAGGATGCATATGATCACTAGCAAAAGGGGGTGGATGTGATCTATGATTGAAAGGAAGTAACAAAGGTGGAGATATCAAAGGTGGCGGTGAATCTGCATTGTCATACCTGCCAGACGGATGAGGATGTAATGGTAAAGGAGGTGGAGAAGATAATCTACCACCCAAAGGCGGTGGTCGTTGTCCAACATCGTAAGGTGGTAATCCTGAGCCGGAAGGCAAAGGTGGTGGTAGGTATGTAGGGAAAAGCGAAGGATGCATGAATGAAGGTGGTGGAGGTGGAACACCTGAAGAACCAGTAAACATTATAGGAGAACTGGATGATTCTGCGCCTATGAATAATGGAGGTGACGTTGTAGTCTCTCCATTTGCTTCCAAGCCTGTTTGAACATTAGCGTGTAAATAATATATAATATTTCTAATAAATAACCTTTTCTTTTCTTATATACCATCATATACTTAAATGAAGATGCACCAACTGTAACGGATATAAATATATTGCTAATTTTTACTGAATATATCTATTTTATTAATGTTTTACAGATTATACATATGTATATATATATATATGAGCCGTTTATTTTGAAAGTGGCATAAGTCACTTTGTTTTTTTTTAATTGAAAATGAAAAGATACCGTTCAGTTGTAAGTAATGTTGCCATTAACTTGGTTTTTTTGAAAAAGTGACTTATGCCAGCTCATATATACACATATATATATATTTGTTACTGGCAATGTATAAAAGGTAGGCATTGTTAAGAATACCTGGTGTTTTTGGGAAAAGTATGAAACTGTTAATATTTCATACATTGTTTCTTTTTTTATTTTTATTGTTGAACATTATTATCAAAAAAAGTTTGCGAAAAAGAAGAGCTTTCTTGATATTTATATCCTATATATATATATATGTTCTCGTGAAGTCATTGTAAATTATTTCGAAACAAATTTTTTATTCAAAATCGCGTTATACCAGAAAAATTTGCATTCAACACGATTTATTATAACGCGAAACAAATTAATCGTGTTATACGATAATCTATTGTAATATTAAAATAATTCGAATATTTTCCATACTTTGACCATAAACGTCAAATATTCTATATGTAAAGTAACAATATAAAATTTCAAATATCTCGTAAAGTATTGACATTTCAATGACCTTGAGTTACTACTTTTACACGCAGAATAATAAAAGGGATCCCTCTTATAAAAAAAGTAACTAGGTTGCATTAAAAAATAAAGTCCAATTATTGCAACAGGCGGGTGCACCGGTGCATCCACACAAAAAATAAGGTCAGGAAAAAGTTGCGACGTATTATGGCCATACAATTTTTTCCCTCTATAATTTTTTTTCTATTTTTACTTAAAAAAGAGCAGTAATCCGTACCAGTCCTCAGAATCACTTTGTATATTGCCTTGACATTCTATACAATGCCTACCTTTCATACACTATACTTGTAATATATATATATATATCGTATAATCTGTAAATATTAATACTTTGAAATTTGACTATTTATCATTTAAATTTAAATTTGTGGGACACAAATATATTTCTCTACAAAATCTATCTTTTGGTCATACATAATAAATAAAGATTGTAAATAAACCATTAGTTTAACACGGATAAAATAAAAATTTCAAAAGAAATATCTGTAAAAATATTACTAGAATATTTTGATCATTCTAAAAGCATCTCCAATATGGTTTTTATCAGTGGTCTCATTAAATCTTTCTTCGTTGTTATTTATATAAAATACTTACGATGTAATTTTGTATCGGCATCTGCATCACTTAGATTTTTTTCTATAAGCGTAAGACGATTACGTAATTGTCCCGCTTCTGCCTTAGATTCTTCTAAACGACGTTCGTTTTGTCGTGCCGTTACCTTTTTATGGAACAAGAAAACTATTAAATGTATTAAAATTACATTGGGAAGATACTTGCTCTATAATATAATTCTACAAATAAATAATTAATTTTTCTAACCCATTGTTCGTGTGCCTTTGTTTCAAGAATAGATATCTGACTTTTATATTCCCTTTCTTGATCCACTATTTCACGTTTCAACATTTCTATTTGTTGTCTGTGATTAAATTAATACAAAATATTTTTGAAAGTAAGAACAATTATTTTCATATTTATATAATTTTTATACTTACTTATATCCTTGTATTTCATTTTGCATCGTTTGTATTCTTTCTACTGTAGAAGTAACTTCGCCTTGTTTTTGCAACCATAATGCTTCTTCTCTGAAATAATATTGCAATAAGTTTATTAATAAGAACATCTAATATAAACTCATTATAAAATAGAATGTTGATTGTTTTATTTAATTATTTTTTAATGCAATTTTTTTTTAAGAGGAACAGCAGTTCATTTTTAGCAATGTTATACTTTTGTGATAAATATGTTTTGCATTTTCATTTTTTTCTTTTGCTACTCTTTTTCCAAAACATCTATATCTTACACTTTATTCTTTTTTATTTGCAATAAAATCAAATCTAATTATAATATAAAATTACTTTTGTCGTTGAGCTTCCTTTTCCTTGAAAAAGTTAGATATAACTTCAAGTCGTGTTTCTGCATCTCGTTTTTCTTTTTCAGCAACTTTACACTGTTCGCTCAACGAAGATACTTCTTCTTTAACAAGTTTCATGTGTTCTACAAAATTATAATATAATATATAAATGTGAATCAAAAAAAGAAGATATTATCTATCAGTAATATTTTTACCTTCCAATAGACTATGAGCTCCTTCGACTTCGCTTAAACGTATCTTTAAATCATTTCTTTCCTCTAGAAGTTGAGATGCTTCCGCTTTGACATGAGATACTTCGTATAATTTTTCAATATCTAAATTATTCGAATTAACTTGGTTAATAACTTCCACGAGATCTTTCATTTCTGCTTCTTTAATTTTTAATTCTTTGTATAAATTAACTTTATCCATAGAAAGCTATAAAAAGAAGAAATATAACGGAGACAATTCTGTATGTACCTGATAGATAATGGCATCTACTGTATCAAATGAATACAAAACAAGAATATATTTACTTGTGTAATTTGTACTTCCAATTGTTGAATTAGTTCATTTAAATTCTCTTGAATTTTATTTCTTTTGCTCAGTTCAATTCTAAATTCTTCTGTTATGCGTATAAGCTCAGTATCCAGTTCTCCGTATTTTTTCTTCATAGTGTTAAGATCTATCAACAAAGCTTCATTCTGTAATGTGAAAATATTATAAAAATGAATATATAATTTACTTAAATATTTTATAGATTTAAAAAATTAATTGAAATTAATTTACCTCTTGAGTTTTAACATTGAGGGCATTAGTTAAGGATTTATTAGCATTTTGTTGAACATTTAAACGAGCTTGTAAATCCTCTACCGATTGAGTCAATGGATTAACTTCGTTGTTGGATGAAAGAACTTCTCTCAGCATTCGTTCCAATTCTAATCCTGCTTCGGTTGCACTTTCTAAATCTTTTTCTAACATAGCAATCTGTTCTTCTAGTTCAACATTAACTTTCTGCATAATAATTATATAATGTCATTATATATAATTGATTAGATATATTGATTCTCATATTTATGAACAATTCTTATATTACCTGCGAAAGCTCCAATTCGGTTTTCAAAGACAATACCATCTCGTTAGATCCAAATGATTTATCTTGCACAGAGCATAACTATATAAAATTTCACAAATTCATAATTATACAAAATTATAATATAAAAGAAAATAAGGTAACATGCATAAACAAAAGTAAAACTAAATAAACTATTCCAGGATATGAAAATTTACCTCGTTTTTGGTTGATTTCAAATGTTCATCCAACATTAAACTTTCTTTTGTAGAAATAAATAATTGTTTTTCTAATTTATTTATTTTTGCTATCAATTGACCATCTCTCCTCATATTCTAATCAAATGTATAGAATTATTATGCAATTAAGTTAATATGAATATGCATCTTATTAATGTAACAATAAGATACCTCGATATAATAATATCCTAAAGAAAACACAAGTGTAGTAATAGCGGTTATACTTAAATACAACAGTGTAACCCAATACGTGTGTTCTACTTTTATCGTTCTCATAATACTGCTTTCGGGAACAGATTCTTTATCCTATGTAATATAAAAATGAAATAAATAATGTTAACATTTAAATAATTACATAATGAGAAATTTGCTTACTTGCGATATAAAACCATAATTTGTATCACCATTATTTATGCATTCACTATCCACTGTACAAACATCAGAAAAGTGCATATTTTGTGTTGTAGTAAGAAATGTTACATCTTCGCTTTTTTTAAGATCCTCCGTATCTTTATTAAATAAAACTTCATCTTCTATTTTATCTTTATCTTCCATCTCAGGCAAAAACTTATCCTCGATATTTATGATATCTTCATATTTAGGTAAGTTTTCAGTCTTTGAATCACCTGTATTATTCTGCACATCATCTATTTGCGACTCAGCTAAATATTGATTTCAAAAGAGAAAAAAGATAAAAAGAAAAATAGAAATATAATGTAACAAATTATTCACAAAATTAATGTATACAATTTAATTTATATTCAATCGTGTTAATAAATAAATATATTTTACTTTTGTCAGGTATCACGTTTTCTTCCACAAGTAACAAATTTCGATTATTACGAAATTCATGGAAGATTTGTTCTGAAATAATATCCGTTGCATCATTTTGACTAGATTGTGGTTCTTCGCTATGTAATTGTTTATTATTATCTTCGAATACTATATTCAATTCCATAGGAACATCACCAAAGCTAGACGTATTTTCTTTGACGTTATCCTTATTTACATCACTATTTACAATATTATTTTGGCTATCTTGCACTTCCATTTGATTATTTCCTTCCATCGTAGTTTCTCCGTCCTTCTGTATTATAACATTAATATTAGTATCATATATTGTATCACCTTCAAATAGATTATTATCGAAAGGATTTTTTTTTTTTAACATCTATCTTAAATATATTAACCTCATTTACAAATTGCTCCACCTTTTCTTTGTCATTGGAAATATTTTCGGACACGTTAGAACCATCAGAGCTATTTATTGTTGATACCATGTCATTTGATCGATCCATGTTTGAAGTGTCTAAGTTATGTACATTTTCCATTTTATCTTCTACTTCTACTTGTTTTGGTGATTCAGTTTGAGAAAACAAATAATCTGTATCATTTGTATTTTCAATAATATTATTTTCAATTTTTATTTCTTCTTCGATCACTGATTTGTTTTCATTTGTTTCTTCGCTGTCTGACTCAATAATCGAAGGAAATACATTATCATTATTATTATCATATTTATATTCTGATTCAGAAGTAGAAGATTCTAAATTGTCTTTTATCTTTACATTTTCTTCTGATTTAACAGTTAAAGATATCGTATCATGTTCAATCTCTTTATTTTCTAATTCAATATTTAAAGAACTTACACTAATTTTCTCCTGCTCATGTTCCGATACAAACTTAGAAGAATCTATGTTAATTTTTTCCTTCTCATTTTCCACGTAGGAAAAAAAAGAATCTATATTATCTTTTTTCTCTTCTTCTGTCGATTCGACATTTGAAAAATTTGTAATATCATTATTATTATTATTATTATCTTCATTTAATTGTGATTCAACTATAGATTTATTCGGTTCAATATATGTATTTAAAGTATCGCTGTAAGTAACAATTTTTAATTCTTCTTCTTCTTTAGATATTTCAGTTTCTTGCTGTGGTGTGGTTGGAATATTTAATTCGATTTGCGTTGCAGTTGGTTTTATGTCTGTATTAACATTATCTTCTGCTTGTTTACTATTCAATAAAGGTGTAGCTTCTATAACGGAAGCATTATTCGGTTCGGTAGATTCTTCGTTATTAATCGGAATTGTAGTACCATCGATTACTATTTCATTCATAGATTGCTCCGTATTTTCTTCCTTGGCAGTTAGAACAGATGCATCTATATTAGCATTAGGAGGACTACTATATATTGGAATAGAGTCAGGTTTATTTTCATTATCTTTTATTGGAATATCTTTTAAATTACTGATATCGTTATAATTATTATCATTGTTGTTTTTACTATTATTTACAGTTTCCGTAGGTACTTCGTAAGTCAAGTTTTTCTTTAAAACTTTATATTCCTTTAGAAAATTTTTTGGTATATATCCACGATTACCGTTGAACTAAACACAAAAACATAATAATAAAATACAATAAAAACATATAAAAAAAAATAGATGATATCGTACAAACATATTTATATACAATTTAACCATCAATCATTAAATATAATCATATAAATTGAAAAATTTACCTCTACACCCCATAAATCTGGTCTTTTACCGGCACCTTTACTGTAAACAGTTACAATAGTACTCACAGGCACGGTGACCATTCCTTTTTCTCCAGCTACATATGTCAATGTAGTCCTGGCCAATGATACAGGTTCTGTAAATAAAACGTCAGTCACGGAAACTTAAACTACACATATAAACAAATAAAAGAGAATAACAGAGTGAAAGAGAAAGAAAGAGAGAGAGAGAGAGAAATTGGAAAAAGTGGAAAGAGAAAGAAAGCTATCAGTCAATTATAATGGTGAAGTATGGCTTCAGTTACCTGAACACTTTGGGTCATAACATAATCTTTTATCAGAAAGTATAGACGAGCATTCTGGTATTACACAAAGTATTATTGTAAAAACTAAAAAAGAAATTTTAGTAAATGGAGTTATCTTCGTCATATTTTCACTATTACAAACTTCCACATCACTATCAACATAAAGTGTTACAACTTTCAACGCGCATCATCGTTCACCACAAATTATTTCTTACGTAGAGACGCCATCTACAAAATGAATCTGTAGAAAAGAAAAAAGACAAATCTAAATTCTGATTGGTCTATTGATTTGCGATAGAACCAATCTGAAAGAAGATATTTCATACGTTATATATGTTTTGAAAAATTGTTTATATCATTAATTAATTATATGTATAGTTTATTCTCTATCATTTTTTCAATATTTTAAGTAATAATATTTGAGAGTTGTAGCTGATTGGTCAGATTTTTAAATCAACTGATCGTTCATTTTTAATGAATGTTTCACATGTATATACAGTAAAACCTGTTTTTGTGCGGTGGATAGGGACCGCATAAAAGAAATTGTACAAAAAAATATTCGAAAATTTTATAAATTCTTACATATAATAAACAACTTTGTACGATATACTGCCTAAAATTTTTTTTATGCGGTGGATAGGGACCGCATAAAAAAAGTCGGACTTAGAAAATACATCAATGATTTATGAAATAGATGGGAGAATGCTTTCAATTAAATACAATAATTAAATTAGACCTAAAGAAATTGTAATAATATTTAATTTTTCATTGTACATATAAATGGAGAAGTTTTCAAATTATACGTTAAATAGTTTGCTGCTACTCGTCGTAATCCAAAACGCGCATCTTCTTRTGATGAATTGGTTGAAAATCGCTTTCGTCGCTTGAAGATAGGATTTCAATTGATTTGTTTTTTGGTACCATAAAGTCAGTGATCAGTTTTTGTGACGACGGTCGACTGGTCAATTGCTTGTAAACGTCACGATAGTGAGACATGCATGATCTGAGCTCTTTTTGGAATTTTAAGCGTCTTTCGACATTGGTATCTATTTGAAAAAAATGCGTTTCCAATTTTTTCGAAATCTGGATCCCTGCATATATTTTATCTGCTGTAATAGATTCCAGTTCTACCCGTCCATTTTCATAATCTATCAAACTATTGATAATGTCACCATCATCCACAGCTTGGTCCTCAATCATCTCGTTCAGGTCATTATCGCTGAAAGAATCAAAGCCTTCTCCGCCGATGTTTTTTGTATTTCAGATAAATTTACGCCTTTTAGCGCACGTGGGTGTAAAGCTTTATTTATAATAAGTGGTGTTAACATCTTTGTACCAGAGGCATTACTGTAAAGAAGAAGTGTGATTCGATCCTTTGCCACTTTAAAACCACTTGCAGTTTTCTCCGATTTCGCAATGAATGTTCGACTGGGCATCTTTTTCCAGAATAGCCCAGTCTCATCTGCATTAAATACTTGATCTGGGCAATATCCACCATCATCAATGATTTCCGCTAATACTTTGCGATAATTCATAGCAGCCGTTTCATCGGCGGACGCTGCCTCGCCTTGTATCTTCACATTGTGAAGTGCGTACCGTTGTAAAAATCCAGCAAACCAGCCATTGCTCGCAGAAAATGTCACGTTTCACAAACAGGATGACGAACTTGGTTCTAAATCCTTCAGTTGGTTGAAATACTGTCTAGCCTTTTCTTGAATTAATTCTTTGTGAACGGGGATTCGTTTTTTAGTTAAATCTTTAACTCACAACACGAGAGCCTTTTCCGTCTTCTCTATTACAATATTTCTCGAATACGATGCTCTTTTACTACTGTCGTTTGTTGCACTATTAAGAGATTCATATATTTTACTCGCACGTTTGTGTATAGCTCTGATTGATTAGGATTCACCTAATTTAAATTCATTAGCAACAGCTGTGGATCCTTCACCATCTGCTAGTTTATTTAATATTAGAATTTTTGTTTCTAATGGAATTGTTTGTCTTTTTATTTTCTTTTGGCTATAGTTATTCATTTTAAGGGAGTACTTATGTCTAAAAATAAAATAAAAATCATAAAAACTACATATAAATAGAAACAACAGTAACTAATTTATTTACCTTCAATCTCACTATAAAATGAATCCTTAATCACGTGAATCGTGGATAAAACTCTGAATACGAAGCGTATGAATGTTGTTCGCGCGTTGAACGACAATACTGTGTACGTAGTTCTGACTCTGCCTTGTCAGGAAATTGTTCAAAATAAATGAACAGAGCACCGCGAAGTCCAGATACATCGTTGTCAAGGAGACCACGTAATCAGAGTTCGTCCACACATGTATATGTACATTGATAGGAAACATTAAATTAGTGCTAACGCCGCTAAGATTCATATACCGCATAAAAATAAATCGCACAAAAAAAATCGTACAAAACCAGTCGCACAAAAACAAAATCGCATAAAAAAGAACCGCACAAAAAAACAGGTTTTACTGTATATATATATATATATATACACGCATGACATGTATACGTATTTATATTGAGAAGATAATATTTTTAATAAAAAATATTTTAGAATATAAAATAATTTTCTTTTAAGTTTTTTTTAACTTGCTTAATTCTAAAAATGTCGCATTATATGTCAAACAAATAAAAGTTCGATATAGTCGCATTAATAACGATCGATACTTACATAACTTGTATAAAAAGACAAATAATATATAATTTTATAATGAATTTATTTCTTTTCTCTCCCCAATTATTAATCCTCTTATTACCTTTTAAACTAATAATCATGATTATCAAATTTAAATGACTATTATTAATTTATTAAATATATATGAAATTTGTTAGAAAAATAATTATAAAAATATTATTGTTTATTCGTGAATAATACGTATTTTTGATATATTAAACAAAAAAAATGTTTTAATTTTATGTAATATAACATTTAAAGTATGCGTACTATATATATTAGGTAATAACATGATAATATATAATAAAAGATCAATATGATATACGGAAAAAATTTTAATATTATTTTCACGTTTACAATCTTTTGTTCTATATGACTAGATTATAAAAAGCAATTAAGAAATTACGTTTTTAAAACGGTATATCGTGTATTATGCGTCACAAATTATATTTGTTGATATAATTTGAAATTATATTGTACAATCAATGAATTTGGCTTACATTTGAAAAAATGATAATAATAATATAATCATTTGATTTAGTTATATAAACACAGTCTTGTGCAAGACGCAAAACTTTAGTGGAATGTTATAATGTAAAAATGTGATAAATAGGAATGGAATGGAATAATATACTAAACATTTTAATGAAAATATCTAAACTAATAAAGATTTCATTAATTTGATAAATTACACAAAGAAGTATTTCTTTTATTAAACCATTAAAGAAACAATCTCTATCATCTTTTGATTAAATGATCATCGAAAAAAAAAAAAAAAAATAAATAAGTTAACATAGCACATATAAAACGTTGCTTAAATTTTCATTGTCGCGTTAAGAAATATGAAAAATGTCTTTTCTCTTTGAGAATATAAAAGTTATTTTTAAAAAGAAACGATAACACTCAAGATATACTTTCTATTTGTACTTTTAAACGACACAAACTTTTAATCCGATCAGTTCTTTTAGAATATCCGAAAATAATAAGAACAATTTTTTTATATCATGAATTAACAATTTATATTGCGGAAAGAATACTTTCGCATAAGTTAGTTATTTTAATAATCATTTTAAAAATGAGCAATAGTACACTTTTTGTTTTTCTTTTTCATGATAGAATATATCGTGAGAAATATAAAATGGAAATTTTCCGACTTAGAATATACAGATTTTCTAATTCTTACTTGGTCAAACTTCTAAATGCGGTTTTAAATATAACTGGTTATCACACAATGTATTATACTTTTATTCAAATAACTTACATGCAAGGTGTTAATAAAAGGAGCACATATATTTTCATTGCAACTAGCAATGTTAAATTCAAAATTCAAAAGTAAACCATTCTCTCTTTTTGTGTATACCCTACGTTTTTATTATTATTATATTTAACTTTGTGCAACAGTATTTTACAATTGACTTTTGAGGCGTCCTTCATAAACACCTAGCATATATTTTCATTAAGAATTGCATCTAAAGCAAGAGGAATTGCAAATATAACAATTATCAACTATTCATCAACTACGGATATACATCTATACCGCTAAATGAGCATTCTATCATATTCACTATATGTATGTATGTATTTATGTATGTACGTATGTATTTATGTATAGTAGCTTACAAAAGTATTCGAACGCTCTTGGTATTTAAACTTTAAATAATAAAACTATGCATGTTAGATTTAAATTTTGAAAGTAATGTTCAAACTATTACAAATTGCAACTATCGAGATCATGTATACAAAATTTTAAGCGAATCGGATAATATTTGTAAAAGTTATTAAACATTTGTTGCAAAGATGTACTAAACAGGGTCACAATAATTTTCGAACACCTAAAAATTAATCGGTTTAATAATGTTTTTGTAGCAAAATTGTAAACATTGGTAAATTCAATCGATGAAAAAATATCGTATAAGAAGTTTCTATACGTCGTTGTAAATAATATTTGTTTGTATAGTAACAATGAGTTTCAACAAATTGAAAATGCAGATAAGCAATAGGAAATTAATGTTAAAATGGCATAAAGATGGAAAATTGTATAGGCAGATTGTAGGATTAGTAAAAGGATGTGTATCTACAATAAAATTTGTATTCCTTAAAGTTTTAATATCTAGCGTTCAAATACTTTTGTAAGCCACTGTATATACGAAAAATGACAAATTTTGTTATAAATAAACCTCTCAATTTTATTTCTTTTGCTATTCCGTACTATTTAATTCTGATTTTGATTAAATTGTATCGATGAACGCTATATAAATTTTGTTTTAAAACCGTTTGAGTATTCAGCAAGAATGGATCGCACTTTTCTGTTCCATGTCTAAAAATGCCAGCACATCAGATTGATAGTCGAAACAAAATTTCGTGTTCGGTGTAATTTTTTTTAATATAGCAGAGCACTATCGTTTTCGTTGGCATTTTTTGACCCAATTTTCGCAAAGAGCCATATCACTCAAACACAATTAAATATATAACTAGAATTGTTTTCATATAGTTTTAAATAAGAATCATTGAAATTATTTTGTATATTATACTATACAAATTCTGTTTTTATAAGAATAAACCACTTATATACATTAAAACTGTAGAAAGTGGATATATCGTAAACTGTTTATTGTAATACAGATAGTCAAATTGTTTTTTTGTTACCAAAGACACACTGTATAGAGTCATGTAATAATCAAAACATTGATATTATTGCACAAAATGGTATGTTTAAAAGTAGAGTATTTAAGAAAAAAAAATAGACCTCACGTGATGTAAGCATAGTTGATGATAAAATCTGTGTATGTGTACGCGTATATTAAGTTCAAAATGTTTAAAACTAAAATATCTGTTCAGATTACTTTTTTAAACCACCGAACGAGTGAATAAGTATTAAAAAGTATAACTTTCAGTTAATTCAAAAAGGAGATATATATATTAATTTAAAATTTATTCTTCTCACGCGAATAACATTAAATTAAAAAATGACAAAGTTAAATATATATATATATATATATATTTAAATGTAATTGTAAACGATTTTTCATTAAAAAAATAAAAAAAATAAAGGCGCTTACTTCTTTTTTTCAGGCACAAAATATCGCCACTCAAATGTAATAGATTAGAATATATAATTCAATATACTCTCTGTTAACTTTGACATTTAGCTTTCTCATTCCGTATGCTAAATACAAAGTATAACAACTACTCTTTTTATCTTTAGTATTTTGAAACTTCATTTACTTGTATATTTTTTTTATTATTTTTTTTTATTTATTTTTATTTTTTTTTTTTTATATCATTAAAAACGTTAGGTAAAACTACTGAAAACAATACTCGTTCGACTATGTTAAACTATCATCATGATCATTTATAAATCTTTATCAGTTCACGAGCACGTAATTAAGTACAATAGAACAGCTACATTAACTGTGGAGAGCGTTTCATATTTAAATTCAGTCAAAGAGTCTTTAGTTAACAATCTTTGCAGATAAAAGTTCTGATAAATTCCTTTTTTAAATTCCATTGTTGAAAAATGAAAAAATTCAATTCACTAATTCTTTACGATATGCTAGCAAAAAAGAAACTTTGACTACGCACTGATTTTCATAAACTAGAAAACAGAAAAAGAGAGAGAGAGAGAGAGAGACAGAGAGGAAAAAAAAATATAAATGTACATGTGATAATTAAAAAATGTAATAAATAAAGATGAACGTATGAATAAAATATGTAATATGATCTCTTCAAAATGTTTTTCCTTATTTGTAATATGTAATATGAATTGCACTGTTTTCTTTTTTTTTTTTTGTTTTTTTTTTTAAATATTATCAAGAATGTACAAAAGGGAGAGCATTTCAGTTTATAGAAAATATCAGCTAAATCACACATCGATTATTAATTTACTAACGGCAAAATTCAACAGAATTTCATATTTATCAGTAACCCTTTGAGCTCTATGGATGCGTATACAAAATGAAACATGTAACTTAATTATAAGTTGTACAAAAAATTAATTTTTTACACAGGTGTTACATGGTATCAAGAAGGATATCATGAGGTATACATAATTTTTTTTACAAAATTTACTGAAAGAAGGCGTGTAGAAAATTCGAAGATCAAATTTGTTTTGTTTCTTAAATGGAATATCCTATTTTTTGCAGCAACAGTTTGAAAAAGTATTAATTTCAACGTAAAAATTGTTGAATTTTGTATCCTTAAGGACAAATATTGATGTTTTTTTTTGACGTATTCTTATAATTTGAGTTTTTCTACAAATTTCAAAGTGAAATTCATTAAAATAACCGAGATACGAAAGTTTAAACACATTTATTATGAATAAAATTAAAAAAAAATTCGTTCATTTAAGATACCAAGAACAACCACAGTCAGTATTACTTGATAATAAACATTTCTCGATACGTGACTTGTGCAACATTCTGTAACGTGAACACAATTTACAGTAAAATGCTTTCACAAAATTTGAGATGTTACTCTTCAAACATGTATAAATATAATTGTAAAAAAGCAACAGTATAGATTAAAACATTTCTTTATATTAAATTCTCCAAAATCATTTCGATAACACAAGTGCTCACACTAAAAATACCCCTTTAAAATATTAACAAAAATTTAATCCGTATAAGATTATGTTGAAAAATTAATGTCACAGAGTAACTCGTAAAGGTGACGGTGTTTATCAGATACTGTTTACCAACATATCACGTACTCTTACTTTAAATAAATAAAATGATAAAAATATAATAAAAGTTACAAACATTTGAACATTTTAATCTTCATCAAGTATCTTATAGTAGATGCTTAAAATTTTGTGCTTTAACATTAATATAATAATGCAACCTACTAATCAATGAAAAAGCGGCTTCTTGAATAGTATTTGAAGCAAATGTGGTTATATGTTTCATATATTCATTTTTACATATCCTCTACTGTCGTTGATAGTTCACGATACAACACTTTATTTTTTAATGTACCTTAGAGAAAATAATCCAATTGTAACAAGTTCAATCTAATGATGAACAAGGCAAACAACGAAATATTCTGCCATGACCAATTCAACAATTAGAAAATTTTTCTTGTAAAACTTTCCTCGTTTGTTGTACATAATGTGCATGACAACAAATTATATTGATTTCACATTATTGAACGAACATTTAATGATACATTTATAAATAAAATTAGCAATGTTTTCCTTCAAAACAATTGAATATTTTTGTCCCGTTAAAATATGGTCCAATTAACTGAAATTTTTGTTAATATTTCGTTAATTTTAATAGCTTAAGGATAAATAATATTTAATATTTTTTCTACGTGAAAATTAATATTCTTTCAAATTATCGCCAAATAAGTAGGATATTTCATTCCAAAAAACAAAGTTGATCTTCAAATTTCATTAAAAAAAATGACCTTGAAGAAAAATTCTTTTAAATGTTAAATTCCCCCCTACCTACAATAGTGCAACTTTTTATCTGTGTATATAAAAATTATGTCTTTTGCGAAAAATGAACCAATCGATTTAAAAATAAATATATTGTTGTTTAAAATATAAGTTCATAACTTTTTGTTCTTATTATTTGTTATATTTATTGAATTAAGATTTTATATCTTATTTTCAAATTAAATTATTTTGTAAATTTTACTTTTTCTAATAAATAATAAATGCTCAAAAATAACGTTTATTAATTATTTAATTTGGTATAATAAAAGAATTACTATAATAACAACTTATCGTTAGTTGAACCCGGTATATTCAATCAATAGAATTCACATTCTAACGAAAAAGTATTCCGTACATACGAAGAACTTCGATGATAAATATTTAGAGCTCAAAAGGTTCAAAAACATTTTCCTTTATTTTAATAAATTTACTTAATATTCTTAAAGATTGATTCTCAAACATATGTGAGACACATAAAGAATCAGCAAGAAATAAGGCAAGATATTTTTTCAAAAATTTCTTTTCTTTAAAATTTATCCATCGTGCATTGATTCTACAATAATAAATTTAACATAAATTTATTTCATTCAAGCTCCTTTTATCCCTTTTTTCTTTTTTTTTTTTTCTCTTTTTTTTCCTTAGAATCGACCAATAATCTTTCAATTTTGTAACAAACAACGTGTAACTGAATGGATCACACTAACTACGCTTTTTATATTTGCGTAATTAGATTTAATAAGTTTTTTTCGATATATATGAGGAAAAACACTCTCATAACATATCATAGACTCATTACAAGATTAATAACGCTAAAAAACTATAACGAATTTGTATATTTTAAAGAAAGAACTTCTTGTAATGAACAAAAAATTACACGCACACAAATCGATGCATGCATACACGCATATACATGTATGTATGTATGTATGCATGATGTATATGTGCATGTGTATGAAGTAAAAAAGAAAAAACATATCAATTAAACTCTTCAAATATATACATAGAAAAAATGAATCAAAAAATTCATTTTCTTAGATCTCATTTCTATTACTTACAAAATAGTAACTGCAATTTCTTCGATAAAGACTTTACCAACAGAAAATAACTGTTACGAAGTAAAACTCATCATAATTAATTACTTCCGCCCCGTTTTCTCTACTTGACTTTTTACTAATTAGTATTGTAAAATATCTCATATATAAAATATAATAAAATTGAAACAACGAATTAAAAATGAGAAAGTAATAATTGAATAAATAACGGATTGCTAATGGGACAACTTTTGTTTACAAAAAAAATAATATATAAAAATAAAAAACAAATTGATGAAGGCATACAATTTAAAACAAATCTATAAAAAAAACAAGCCGATAAAAAATAACCTTTTTAACAATATAGAAAAGAAACATTTTAATAATTAATAAAACATCAAGAGAAAAAACATATGATTGTATCTAAAAATGAAAGTCTTTAAAAAATATCATAATTTAGCAAGCGAATAATGACAGTATTTAACTGTAACCAAACTGTACCTTGCGGCATTGGCAAAGCCATTTAATAATTCGAGCATTTCGTTCAACGATACTTGGTGGATCGTTAACTCTTTGATTAGAATCATCATTACCCATGCCAATGCTACAATTATTATTCTGCCATTGACTACTACCCTGATTTGCCTGATTATTTCCAATCCATGAATAAAGACCTAACGCCGAGTCGACTGAGCTAACACTATCGAAGAATACAGGCGAGGAAGATTTCGAATCAGGTTCAGTGATAAGTTGAAAATGATCTGAATCTAAACCCAAACGATCAAAGAAATTCTCCAACTGTGTCACCGAACGTGGTGCGCGTGCTGATAATTTGCTCGTTCGACCATTATCTTGTCTCCAATAACGATCACTTATATCAGATTTAGATCTCAAAATTGGCCTACCGCGTCCTTCCTTCCAACCATCTGAGAATCTATCGGGAAAATAAATATTATTCGTTGAACCTTTGTTAAGAATAAAATTAAATATATAATATAAATGTAATTAAGATACAGTACTAGGACAAAAGTATAAAATATTTTATATTTTTCAATGTATCATAATATATTCGGAAGGAGTAAAAATTCATTTTATATATTATATATAACTTTTAGAATATTAAAAAAAAATCTTGAATTAAAAGAAAATATATAGTGCTGAAGTTGAAGAGAAAAATGTTAAAATAATCAAAATTTGATTGGACAAGAGTATAAGGCAATATAACAAAATTCGAATTTCTTTCATGGAAATGTTTCTTGAAATGTTATATTAATATTCAGCAAGATCACCTTTTCGTTTTATTGCATTTAACAATCGTTTTCGTATCGATTTATGAAGTTTTTTAAATATTTTTTTGTGCTAATGCATTACACGTTTCAATAATACATTATTTTAGTTCGTTAACATTTTTAAATTGTCTTCCATTTAAATAAACACTCTTAGACAAATTACTCTAAATATTTGCATCGACTAATTATATAAAAATGCATCTTTCTTGAATTTATGTGCCAGTGATTTGTAAACAATTTCATAAATGTCTTTCTGTCAACACCAAATCTGCTATTGCGATGTGTATTGCGATACATTTAAAAGTATCGCAACTCAAGGGAATCATTTTGAATATTTAGCATAACAAAAATAAATAAAATAAATCTTACACGTTGAATTTTATTTATTCCATATTTCTGGGTTAAAGGTCATTTGAAGTTCATATTGTATTACATTATTAAACTTATCTAAATGTCAGCTAAAATTATGCATGGGAAAAAAAAAATGCAATTCCATTAAACAAAAAAAAAAACTGTTGGTGACCTTGAAAAGATTAAAAAAAAAAAAACAATGACATATACGTCCTTTGAAGCCATTCTAATTCTGATATAGCCATACTTCGTGTTTTTAAATCTAATAGAGATATTCAGGTGTCCGGTTTCTTTTGACTCACCTTGCATAAAGTGTGTCTCATACTTTTGTTTAGTACTGTATAATTTCTAATACTAAAATAAAGAATGAAGTACCTTGAATTGAAAGTAGGACTGTAATCGGTTTGGCTTTCACTGCTTTCGGTATCAGGACTATAATGTCTCACAACGGAAGGTGGTGTGCCACTGGCGTAACTACCCTTTCTTGAACGGTTTTTATCGGTTGAATGTTGAGTCGATGCACCACTGTCTCTACGTATATGAGTCCAATAATCCTATCAATAGAAATATTTGCGTTAACGAGGAATTTGTCATAATAAATATAAAAGTTGTTGAATACCTGTAACCTTGGGGGTGGTTCGCTACGATGAGTATAATGTCCAGAGGATCCACCAGAATCTCTTGCAGTAGCGCCATGGCTCAATTTACTCGAGCCAGAGGATTTTTGTGTTCTGCCACCGGAAGATAGAACACTACTTGCATCTCCACCACCAGAGCCTAACGATCGTCTGATGTGACGCGTACTAAATATGTTTGATAATAAACATTTTTCTAATTCTAATGTTCCCTTTATCTTTTGTTTTTCTTTTCTTTAGGTAATATAATTTGATAATACCTGCGATAACAAATAGCGTCACGTTTGAAACTATGTTCGGAATAATCCGAACTGGTCTCGCAATCTAGACAATTGTTGACCCCGTGATGATGTCCAGGTTGTTGTTTAGCAGATGATTTGGTCGAGGTACGCGGTGATAAAGAAGCTCGACGATGTGTACTGGTATGAAGGTCAGGCAAAGATTTATGACAAATCGTGTTCTCTGCTGATGGGGAAGTATTAGATTTTCTACTGGCTGGACCAGACGTATGAGAATGTGAATTACTTCGACCAAACTTGAACCGAACGTCCGGTGGTGTGCAATGCTGTAAGATATAACATTTGAATGAATGATCTTACAATTGATTAAATAAATTATTAACAAATGTTTAAATGATCATATAATAAATGTGTTTTGTAAAGAAAATGTTGAAATCTTTTTTACCGATGCACGATCATCGTCTCGGCAGCCAGGCGATAAACTCCCGGGTGAATATCTGAACTTTTCTTCGCGTGTGGGACCGTTCGTCGTTTGAAGACAAGCCTGTGTTGGGCTTTCCGGGAAGAAGACGTTCTCCTTGCTATCAGTGTTGAGTAATCTCCGTAATTTTGTCTGCAATTGATCCCCGCTCGTAGCACTTGGTGGCCCTGAAATAGTGCGCCGCTGCGGAACAGGGACTAAGCGTGGGCTCTTTGGTGGCAGCGCGGGTGGCAGTGTTTGTTGAGGACTCAAAATCCCATCTGCTGATAAATATCATCAGCAATAAGCTCTTATTATAACTGTAGAATACGATAAACAAGATATATTATCATATCAATAGGATCAACATGATTCTTTAACATCTCAAAATTATTTAATCCTTGGAAACATTATTATTGATTAATCTAATATGCATATTATACATACAATATATAAACACAATTAACAAATATTATAATTTAAAATAAAATAATTAAACGATTAATTTGAAAGTATCTAATAAACTAGTATTGATGACCAATCACGCAAAGAACAACTAGATGATCAATTAGAAATGATAGATCAACCAAATGTTTAGGTAAAGAAAGAAAAACTGATGAAATATTTACTTCTATCCTGATCGTGACACGTGGCCCAACAACAGGGTGGTGTTACAGCGTTAGATATTTGTGATTGAGAGGGTGATTGTATCGAGCACGGTACAGCTGTATTTCCACATTTCCTAAGTAACCTAGGTGGTGCACTAGGTGCACTCAACTGAGATACTTGAAGATGACCGCTATTCTTGAGTTCCTGTTTCCGGTCCAAGACAGTCTCGCTTTTCACGTAAAATGCTTTTGTTTCTTGTAATAATTCCACCGCACTTTTACGTTTTCCTACGAATAATAATTATATTATCCTCCTCCTCATCATCATCATCATCATCATCATCATCATCATCATCATCAATTTCTTAAGTAATTTCGTTTCCGCTGAAAATATGAAAAGTAAGATAACGATTAGATGAAATAACGGACGTTAATTATCTCGATGATGAAAAGAAACGATTTCTAATATAAGATCTTTAGATAATACATATATAAGAATAAAATAAAAAATAAAAAAAAAAAAGAAAAAGTGTTCCTTCCAAACTACATAACAGAACGTTAAGAGTTAGTCACAAAACAGGTTTTATGAGATTTCGGATAAGCGAATTCACTACTCTTGCCGAAGAGCATCTTGGCAAAGAAGAATCTTGAAAGGGTCAAGACAAAAACTAGTCTGCCGTATTTTCATAAAAGAAAAAAACAAAACAAAAAAATACTTTTACAAAAGAATCTTTCCTAGGGTGAAACAGTTGAGAACAATAATAGTATTAACATTTAAAAAAAGAAGAAAAAAAAAATACCGTTATGCTAGACTAGACTTGAAAAGAAAATATACCAACAACAAAGTCATCTATTTCTTCGGTAAGAAGAAGATTTTCGTTTTGATTGGAAAGAATGAACAGATGTGTCTGGTGTTATCTTAAGCATATCCTTTTTCTTCCCTTCATGTTTATATACAGGGTGTCCCGTAACTGGTGGCACACAATTAGACAGTAGTTGATTCTATATGAAAAACTGAGAAAAAAATGTATAATTAAATTTGTTTCGTACGAGGTTTTGTTTGTTGAGAAAAATATGTTTGAAAACTTGTCGAGAGTACGCATGCACTTAATGTAATTAAGATTCGATTCGGCGGATTTCGGAATAACATTTTTATATTATAATTCTTAATAGGTTTATAATTATCATTAATATGATCAATTCTACTTTTACGTTTATCGAAGAAAATTTTCCATTTCTAGGGTTGCAAGCTCAATTAAGTGCATAAATCTACTCGACAAATTTTCAAACTTATATTTATCGGAAACGATACTTTTTATGAACAAATTGTATTCTTCATTTTCAATTGTATTTTTCATGTAGAATCAATCATTATCTGTTTGTGCTATCAGTTACGGGACACCCTGTATATACAAATGGAATATGTCAAAAGGAGAAGTCTTTTTCTGACTATTACTACTTGTACTGTTGCTACCGCAAATCAGAGACATGTAATAGCTTTCACTCTAATACAGAAACGTTTCTTTCCTCGTTTGTACGTACATCTGTGTGTACATCTAAATACATACAGTAAATTACATGAGTATTCGTATTTGTTATCAAATTCTTGAATACAGAAACATATTTTAGGATCATTAAACTTTCAAATTGATATAAATGTGATTGTAAAAGAACATTTTATCGTTAAAGAATTGTTATTTTATTTAATATCACAACAGTATTTGCATTTACATAAGAAATAATACAAATACAATAATCATTTTTCTCATTTGTACATTGTTAATTCTTCTTCTGAATTTTATAATAATTATTGAGACGATTAGACAAATTTTCTTATCAGTTATGTCCAATTTTACTTTTCTTATAATAAAATGCTCTTTTGCAATCAAATTTTAATATGAATTTACAAATTGAATAATCCTAAAATTTGGATGTATTGTATTATAAGAAAATGTTGATTGTTTTAAGTTGACAGTGGGAATGCAAATACTCTTGGAACTTACTCACTGTATGTATAAAAGGTGTTAAAAAAAAAATAAAAAAACTATTCAATATTCTTCCAGTAAATAGAACATTTTGTACTGACAATGATTAAAAAAAGTTTTAGTAACAATTATAAACGTAGGTCGAAAGTTCAACCGTTGCCGACATATTAACGTTTTTGTATATTAGTATCGTGATTGACTTACTGGGTTCTTGAAGCATTTAATACTAAATCTACCCACGCGCGATCAACAAATGACTGCGTCCGGTAATTTGTAAAAAATGTGGTGAAAATGCATAAAATGTTGTACATTATTCATTTATAAATAAAAGAAAATATATTGTTCGCTATCCAATTGACTAAAATCTTATTTTGTATTGAGTTACATGTTTTTTTTTTTTAAATTTCACAGTAGGAATAGGTATACATGAAAAATGTTAGTTGGTTTAGTGTTAAACACTGTGTTCCATTAAAAGTGGATTGGCAATGAGGTGGGTCAGTTGTGTGGGCCCTTTGATCGCCCAATTTCAGTCCTTCGAATTTCTTTTTTTTATATTATTCGTCAATAAATGACTTAGAAGAAACAAAATCGTTAAGAAACCGAATTTACAATGCTTGTTTAATTGTCCGACAGAGTCTATGGAATTTTCGACGATGTAAGAAGAAAATAGAAATATGAAAATATAGAAATGGAAGAAGAACATATTAGAACACTTTCTGTAAATCTAAAAACTAATATTAAGTCGTCAATTATAATACTAAACTACAAAAATGTTTATATCTCAGAAAAGATTGATCATTCGACTTACGTTTACTGAAACTTATTTTAACTGTTATTACAGTATGTTCTATATTTACTGTGTAAATATTGAATCATTTTTATACAGGTAATCCTTCTATAACACGGTAAATAGGTTCCTAGAAAATGACGTGTTGTGTGAAACCGAGTTATATGAGACCCAAAGTTCATTATTCCTTCATGTTATTATCTTAAGATAATTTAATTTTTAAATATGTTCAACAAAATCATCTTATCTAGTGCTGTAAAAGTACAAAGTGTTGTGCAAAGGTTTTCACAATAATTTATGAATCATATTATAGCGAAACCGTGTCATAGGATGCTGTGTTGTAAGAGGATTACCTGTACTGATTATTGTAAGACATTTTTAAACAATTATTACAGTAGTGTATGATGTTCCATGTACTGTATAAATAATATTGAATGATTCCATTTAAACGTCCTGTATATATATATATGTATATATATAATTCACATAATTTCTTGATTAAATATAAAATATTGTATATACACCCAATTCTGTTTTTACAAGAACTTCTTTTTCACGATTTTGATTTAACACGAATTAGGAAACACGATCGACCTAAATTCTAAGAAGTAAATTCTGCTTTACTTTTACTTTTATAACTGCGACATTGGAGACGAGGAATTAATTTTGCATAAAAGTCAATAAATGATAATTTATAGTTTGAAAACCATTATTTAATTAATCCCTTAGCCTACAATATCAGTTCAAAGACGTTTTAAGTCGGCTGGGCCAAATGTAACCAAAATGTTTCATGTTGAAAGGAGTCAATCGATTAGTAAGACACAATTCAAATTATTTTCAAATTTTGCACACTTGTAATAGTCCATGAGTATATTCATTGTGCCTTTAAACATGACGTATATATTCAGCCGTTTGTCGAAAAAACGCTGATTGAAATTTGACAATGAATAAAATCTGTTTTATGCGTAACTCCTATTATCTTGTCTTATTTTTATCTTCATGAATTAGTGACACGTTTGTTTTTCTTTTCAAATGATAATTTACTTGGTATGATAGATTGTACAATCTTTATGAAATAAATTGTTTAAGATCCTAACATGAAAACTCATGGTTTATTGTATTATTTTTTTTTCTGATTTCTTAGAACTGGAACAAATCTTCTATTTTTCAATAGATGTAATATATTCTTTTAAACGAATTTCTTTTTGTTACATATATTCTTCGGGAACGTATCTATCGTGTAAAAACATAATTAGGTGTAATTATAAAATGAATGAATGAATAATAATTTTGTTAAATATTAATAGATCAACTACCTGTGTGATCAACATGCCGATGATGATTTCTAACATAAGGTGGCGTTGGATGCCTAGCTTGCATATCCCAATAAGTATTACGACTATTTCCAAAATTATTTACTCTTTGCTGTTGCGAGGGCGAGGATTGCTTACAAGGCAACCTGGCCATGGCGGTCATCATTTTATTTTTCTACTTGACGCGCTATAATAAATCGATTATGTTAGCGGTCCTCGTCTTATTCTGATACGTCGTCGTTTCGACCCCATCATTTTCGGTTGATCCTTCGTATTCTGTAACATAACACAATGTGCAGATAATAATCAATCAATTAATCAATGATAATTCATTAATAATAATAAATAAAAGAAACAAAACAAAACAAAACCAAAAAAAAGTATGAATGAATAAGGGAATCATAAGAAATAATGTTTTTAAAAAATTGACTCTATATATAAGATAGTGAAAACTTATGACTGTAATAAAAATGATGTTATATTGACTTATGAACATAACTATCAAGGTAAAATAACGCTATTAATTGTAAGTTTTTTTTTGGTATTTGTATAAGAAATAATATGTCATAATAAAAAAAATAAAAAAAAAATTTTAGTTGCTGAGGAAGTCTCAAATAGAGACGAAACGTTCAACGGATAAATGTATTGTTCATCTAAATTAAACCTGTCCAAAAAATAACTTCCCTAAGAATTAAACTTAGTAATAATATTAAAAAAAAAAAAATTTCGGATAAGAAAAAAAAAAAAATCTTTATTATATTAACATAAGAAATAATGTTCATAATTTTCAAACTCACATAAAATTTCTCTCTCTCTCTCTTTCTTATTTTGTAAATGTCTTATATTGTAAAAGAATATTTTCTCCGATTAAATTTCCACGGTATAATATTATTCTCTACTTTCTGCAGTTTTTAATACTCTATCATTTTCAAGAAAAGACCGTTACGAAACCGGCAAGGCCGAATTATTTCGAATGGAAACTAGGACTCCCTTATCTTTCTATCTATTCAACTGTCGCACAAATGCGCGCGTACAAAACTTTACCTTTTGTTTCCCCTCTCCCCCCCCTTTTTCTTTTTTCTTTTTTTAATTAACACGATTGTTTTATTAAAAAAAAAAAAAAAATAAAAATAATGAATTCAAGGTGAAAGGTCAATCGCGTTGGCCATTATTTGAAATATCGAGTATCTGAATGAATAGAATGGGAGGAAGGGAAAAGGGTAGAGGGAAGGGACAGAGAAGGGTAGAAGGGGGAGGGGGGAGGATTGAAGTGACATCAAGAGTAGAAGGAACGTTGTTGTAAACACATTATGAACAACGAATGATTGACATTTATGTGACAGCTTGTCGAAGAATTAATCAGCAGTTTAATGGGGGGGGGGGAGGAGAGAGGGAAGTAACACATCTACATTGGCGTAATCAAAATTACTTTTACGGGGTTAAAATTCATGCGTTAAATGTTACCATGAGAATTATTAAGGGAAAGTGTATAGAATTAAAGTTAAGAAATGATTACGTGTATTTAGTTTGAAATATAAATTTGGTTAATTCGTGTCCCATTTAACACTAAACCTACTTACATTTTCATATACAGTCAAACCTCCTATAACACGGCACTCGCAGATCGCGATTTCCATATAACGCAGTGCTGAAATTGCGACAGCCCTCCTCTAACGCGGTACTCTTACAGCGCGGTTTCCGTTCAAGAACATCCCATAAGTTCCTTAGTCACCTGATCAGATTTTTAACGACGATGAAACGGCACTATATTGGAAAAAA